TTACTCCAGGTACTTTCGGGTATTCCGTTTTCGAGCGATCTTCACATGGGATCGAGCAATTGAAGACGCTATCATTAGAACAGAACTCTCTGAGGTTCATATTGAGGCCATTGAAAACATCCTTGGCTACGTGATACTTTGCTCATCGCTTCCTCTAAATTGTCAGCACCGATTATCAAGTTATCGACGTAGAGGTTTTCCTTGATTTCCTTGGCCATGTCCTTGTTGAGGTCATATGATCAAGGTGAAATGCAATTGTGGATCTAGTAGGAACGGTGATGTGTTGAGTCCGAATGTTACCCTTGTGAACCGGTAGGTCGATATTCTCCTGGGTAGGTGGGAGTGAAATGTCGCGTAACCACATGCACCGGGTAGCACCGCGATCTTCTTCTTGCAGTCGAACCTGCAGGAACGCTTTTTCCACATCAGAAATGATCGCTATGTTATGGATGCGGATTCGTAAGATGATAAAGACCATGTCTGGGAGAAGTAAAGGCCCTTGGTGAAGTACATCGTTGAGACATGGCTTGTTCTTATAATGAGCAGAGGCGTCGAACACTATTCGCATCTTCGTAGTTTCCTTCAATGGTGTAATGACTGCTTGATGCGGTAGATAGTGGACTACGGTCCCTTCCAACGGTTCATCTTGTGTGACCTCTTCTATGATTCCCTTCTCTAACTGCTCCTTGAAGATGGCGTCGTATTGCACCAGTGTATCCTTGTCCTGCGAGTACAGTTCGAGCACCTTATGGAGCCTTTTCAACGCAATGGTTCTGTTGTCTGGTAGAGTATAACAATTAGACTTCCATGGTAGTCTGACGTAGTATCCGTCCTCCCTACGTTGATTGGTATTCCGAAAGTCTCGAAGAACGTGCTCGTTGATCTGTTGACGTTCTGACTTTTCCGGTCCCGTGAACTCATCTGTGCCTGCGGATTCGAGAGTCCAATAACGGTCCCATGTCTCCTTTTCTTCCTGTGCACCAGAGACGACAAGGGTTTTACAGGCGCAGTCACTTCTAGGGATTGTCGGCCGCTAATTATGCAGCCAAATTTCGTCGGTATAAGTTGCAAACCAGAAGGTAGTGTCATTTTGCCCAACGGCATCATGAAGTCCCACAAATAATTACAACCCAGCAATATTTGCGGCTGTACCGACGGTAGTCTCTCTGGCAATGATAATATAATATAATGTCAAATATCCAATGATAAACGTTCGGTAGATCAATAATCGAGCCAATCGATCAATATGCCACGCGGGTATAACGCCGTTGATATTCAACCTCAAACTTGGGTAATTAAACTTTATTCTACCTTTTTATAATAATAATCAACGATATATAACATTTAAATAAAAGTAGAAGCGAATTAGGCCAATAGGAA